TATTATATCGTTTTTTCGTATTGACGTATCAGATCTGAGCTGGCCTGTAAGTGTCTAATATTAGATTCTTATTTTATTCAATTTTCGTCGTCCATGTCATATTCTGAACTTAATATATTGTCGTAGGTTTTCTCTCCGATTTTCGAGAAGGAAAACCTTAAAAATGGTGCAATGAGTAATATTGTGTGTTAACGTTACTGTTTGTATATGGATGTCCAGTTATATATAATTCAATTATAATATTCATTGAGACATTGCAGTCTCAATGTAGTATACCTGTGCGAGGTACGGAGGATTTCCTGTTTGTAAGGATTTGCTTTTTGATATGTTTTACAAACAATCACATGCGGAAACCATACGCGATTAAAGGTATCATGACATACTTATTCAAGTTTAGATATATATTTTTACAACTTAAGTTTGTCAGGGCAACAACTACTGTATAGGATTTAATGTGTGTCTAATTTATGTTCAGCATACACGCGTCATATCTATTTAACTATTATGATTTAAAATTCAAAACGAGTTTTAATTTTTTTTCTTTTATTTTCTTGTTCACGCAGCCACTGATATTTCTCAATGGATCGAAAGCTCGACGTACATTATTATAATATTCAAATCGATCACATATGAACAACTAATTTTTTCCGCTCTGAATAACACGCATCATATTATCATCATGTCGAAAGCTTTTTTTTTTAAATATAACGAAATAACAAGTGTACCCAACCTATAACTGTTTCCCCTTCCTATAGCTGCTAGAGTAAAAATATTCACATCCATATGACGTTCCGAGAACCTAGTTACCAAGCGGGTAATTTAAAAAAATATCAGTTTTGAAACGAATGTAATTTCTTAATAATATTATATCAAACTTATTATAATATTATGCCGTGTTTTGAATGAAATTGTAAGGTACCTACCTATACGAATGTGCAGTTAACAAAACAAACAAAAAAAAAAAGACCAAATTTATGCAACAGATCATAAGATGCATAACTATAAGATTCAAATCTTTTTGGTCTCGCAACAAGATGCGCATATGGTTTTTATGTTGTCGCCGTGATATTATATAATGTACCTACAGTCGTTCAAAAATTAATTCAAATAATAATATGATCACCGGTATTTGGATGACGTTGTGCTCAACGAACCAATAATCTATAAAACCTGTAAAGTTCCTATAATAATATACAATAATATTATATTTTATGCGGTCGGACGTGATAATATGATATTATTGTTTTGTACGGGTACGCCAATATTTTTGTCACCATGTGTTAGTTGTGGGTGTACCACATCATGGTTTCCCACGGTTGAGCCTATATAAGTAGATATATGTATATCATAATACAAAAAAATATTGTATTCGCTTTGTACACGTGCGCATTTAATCGGTGTGACAAAAAACAAAACCCAAAGCAAACGCGTCTACGATTTCTATACGAACGTTTGCCGCCCACGGATTTACTATAACTAGGTATACCTATATACATGTATATAGAGGCGTACATTGTATATCGTTGCCCCACAAACACGTCAAGTCCGGGGACTATATTATTATCATTTCTTGTACCTATAGACATAATATATCTATACTTACTATATTATAATAACACAACTGCACAATTATTACACGCCCCGGAAAATTGCGATTTACGCTCTCGTCATATTATTTTCGTACAATTCGTACAAGCTGTTCGTAGGTATCTATATAATATACTATGCTATATAGTATTATATATACGCTATTGTGTAGGTCACCGTTTGCTACACAAAACAACCCACGCACATTTTACCGGCATTTATCGACAATTAGAATAGGTATGTACCATGCGGCGACATAATAAATATGTGTGTGATAACACTGATAACTGATAAAACGAATTTTTTCGGCGGGCATAAAAATTGACGAGGGTACGGTTTATAACATTTTTTTCTCGTTGTAAACTCGTAGTTTGGAACCCTGTTTTCAAAAACGAAAACCCGTTAGTACCTACCAATGATAGATATTAGTAGGTATATACCTAGGTAAATAAAAAAATTTATAATACCTAACAATAATAAAACTAGCAGAATAATCACTCTCGCGGTATAGGTATAATAAGAACTACGAAGTATTATGTATCTTGTTTTCGACACGTTTTGCGTCCTTTGTACAATATTTTGTAGGTAGGTATCTACTCGTATTGTACGTGCATCCAAGTTTTTCTTTCATTATTAACTAATTAGTTTAAAATATTTATAATTATCATGTTAAGTACATATATTAATTAATTATTCGTGTTCAGTCTTGCGCGGTATTCACCATGTTATACCTACGAAGGTTTTATTTTTCGTGTATACAATCTTTTAAAATTATCGATTAATGAAACTGTGGTAGGGAAAAAACTGCTGATCGTGGTGTTTTGATCGGTCTATCGATTTTTTTTTTTTTGTTTTTGGTTCGTTAAAGTCTCCGGTACACTGCACAACGATGAAAACCATCGTTGGGCGAATATTTCGTATTTCGTCGGCATCGTAACCACCGTGCGTTTCCAATATATTATAGACAAGAAACAACGCTGTGTGAATTTTATTATTATAAGATTTATCCAGGTATCCACCCGTGCCAGTTTAATATTATACTCTCGCTTTCGTTTAGACCGTGCAGTGTATATGTTCGGTACACGCGTGCATATTATACACTCCCACACCGCACATGTTACGAAATCACGCGACGACGTTATATAGGTACTATAAATTATAATATATTATTATTATCATCGCCATTAAGATGTGTTTAAGTTCCAAGAAATCAAAACGTCATATCTCCCTAACGGCTAACGGTATAATTAAATCACTCAAAATCTTCACTGGGTCTCTGAGCATAACTTGCTTGCTTCACTGCGGGTGTCGACCGGCTACTAATCGTGCGCAATTATAATAATATACACACGTCATATTATTACTGCCATCGTCGAGTTCCGACAATCATATTATTATAAGCTCCCCGTGGACTCACGTAATAAATTATAATATACTATTAGCTATACGTGTTATTTTTATGGGTACTCAATAGTACGATATTAGGCCTTTTCCTAGTTGAGGAGAGGAGGATTTATAAAAGTTTATTTATGAGGATTTATAAAAAATAAAAAAGTACAGGCATTTTTTTTGGTCTTCACGAAATTCGATCAAACCGCAGCTCAGTAATAAATATAATACACTTTTGAAGAGCTTATAAAATGTTCATTAATCATTATCATCCCAAAACTTCAAATTAGTCGTGATACTCGTGAACTACCGAAAATCGTCCAATCCCTCCTATAACGTGCCGCTGTGGAGGTAGTTCAAGTGTTAATCGAGCTAACACGTTATATAAGTGATGTGCACCCGCTCCGATTCATCTCGAAAACCACATTTGCATCAAACTATTGAAGTGCTGTTTCGTATATGTATTATAGGTAGGTAAGTAGGTACCTAGTACCTACTTATAATAATTATCGTGTACCTATAGAAGCGTATAATAGCGTATATATAGTATATTTTTATATTAATATTATTATTATTATTATTATTATTATTATTATTATTAGGTATATACCTATATAATACCTAGCGTCGATCGTTTTAGATAGTGCTCGACCTCGTCGCATTTACTTAATACATAATAATATTGTCGTCATGAAGAAATCGTTTCGTAAAATTCTTCGACGACTTTTAAAACACGGATTCTACCGGTTTTTCGACATTTTCTGTAAACAAAAAAAAATCGTTTGCCTACCATGCTTACTTAATATCTATTATTATTATTATTACTAATATTTGTTCCTTTAGAACCCTATAATAGGTAGGTCATATTATCGTGTGTACCTACTTTCATACACGGAATTTACCGATTTTATATGAGATCTTAAGACTTAAATACAGCGTTAATTATTGCTAACCGAAAAAAACACAAGCTAAACAAATCTCCAGCAAAAAATTAAGCTTACGAGTTTTTGTTTTATAGGTATGCAATTAGTAGGTAAACAGAAATTATTTCTATGAACGTAAAAATATTTTCAAATGAAAAACGCGTTGTATATTTATTATTGTAATTTCTAATGGGAAAAAGTTATTAACAAATTAGTCGAATTGTTTTTCAATAAAATCTATGTCGTGCGTTATAATCAACTCGGAAATGTTCGGTTAGACGGGTAATGCGGTATTAACCGCACGTATCGTGAAGAAGTTTTACATTTTAATACGATAATATTAATAGAGTAAATATTCTGAATTATAATTTATAATCTCATCAACTACGACTGTTGTGTGATTTGAATTTCAAACTACATTCTTCTTTATGTTCAAGTAATTTTGAATATTCGGCATCCAACTATATACCTATGACGTACCCATGGTATAGGTATGTCTTACAAAATATGTTTTCACTACTTATACAAATATACAATGTATATTTTGTTGTCTTGTGCATAACAAATGCTCTTTTATGTAACAATTTATTACAATAATATGTAATATATCTTTTTGATTAATAATTTGATTTTTTTAGTTTTAATATACCTTTTGAAATATTATAATATAGGTACTGAGGCACTCTCGGATATAGGTACTTCCTAAAAGTGTATACACTAAATAAACATTTAACTTCATGACTCGCTGCGGTCAACACTATAATATAGACGAGTGCTCTTTACTTGCAATATTACTTTCACAGAATATATTAAACGTTCTTTATTTTTTTTTTCTTAACTGTAATTGTTATGTGCATACTTTTTTACTTTAATACGACAGTGAAGTCCTTGATTTCTTAATGGGAATGGAAATGATGCCTCAGTTGTGACATATAAACGTAATAATATGTATACAAGTGCGGCTTATTATAGTAGAAATAAAAACATAAACAATAAAAACGCCGACGAAATGGGATGCAAATTAAAATTACCCATCTGTTTCCGTAAGCAATTTTAATTTATATATTTTTGCCATTTATTTTTTTCAGACCGGTATTCAAAATGATGTTTAAATACATGTGTTTGGTTTTGTTCATAACGTGGTATCAGTTAGCTGAATGCCACCCTGCGAGCTCCAACGTCAAGGCGATGGATTCCATGATTGAAAAGGTAAAATTTGGCAACCAAAAAAAAAAAATAATAACAACAATAATCACTCTCGCAATATAGGAATAATATCGTAAGAAGTATTATGCATCTTGTTTTAGACGCGTTTCGCGTCCTTTGTAAGATATTTGGCACGGCTGTGTGCTATAAACACATGTTTATAACATCATATTATACTCATCGGGGATTATGATTAACGTTTGATATTCAATTTAATATATAATAATATAATATTAACCATATATACATGTGTGAACATATTTTATTGGCCCAGCGCCGAGGACAAACTGCCGTACGCGAGTCCAGTGGATTACCGCACAATCCAAGGCAATCTAGCCATTACATTTTTCGAAACCTATTTAAACTACATCTACTTTCATTATATTTGTATATTATATATTATAAATATTTTACATCTATACAGTGTTATCTCATCCACAATAAAATAATGACTTAAGTGTTATAATTACATAGAATAACACAATGTATATAATATACAATAGCGCATGTTTTAATTATTATTATCATGACAGTTACCTAGTAGGTATACATAATATTATTATTATAGTGGATAATTATTGTAACTATTACTGTAGCCAGACATGATTATAATATTATTATGTTATTATAATTCTTGCAGTGCCACTGCGCACAGCTCGGAAGGCAATAAGTAATAACACGACGTACAATATTATGATAGTATAATATATTATGCGTGCCTCATCCAATACGTTTCGTAATGATGATGACGATGATTAACGGTCATTTTACAAAAATTTATATTTTAACACGTCACTGCCGATTTTTGAATATAAAAAACAGTCATCGGCTTATACTCGATATACCTACCTATAACTGTATAATAGTATAATATGATTCGCAAAAAACAATATATACCGGTTATGTAGGTACCTATATTGGTTATTATACCTATATTATATTCAGACCATAAAATGTATAACACATATATAAATGTGGGTAATTCGTAATAATACCTAACCTAACCATACCCGATATGATTTAACCAACGTTGGACAGCTATTTCTCTGCATGTAAAAAACCGGATTTATGAATGTGTACCCTATACCTATGGGCAGCTATGTAGTAACTTTTAAAATTAATGATAAATGTACATGACCATTTGTTAGGTTTTGATCTCCTAGAGGCGATATTTTAAGAGTCACGATCGGTTTGGAGTAATTAAAACCGGTCACAATAAGCAGAAAAAAACAGATATAATATTATTAATAGGCAAATTGGTTCTGTTATTTTCGTTCCTACCTAGTATCTATTTGCTGCTCTTATTTACTTTTCATCATCAGTATTCTACACATTGGTGATATAGACATCACAACACTGTACCACGGCAAATCTAACTTCTAAGTATAATTACGTCCAATTTCATAATATTATATCAAAACGCGCAGCCATAGGTTTTTATTTTCATCACAGTTACTTTTTTTATTAATAAACGTCCAATCACATTTCGTTGACATATATTTTATACTTTGAAAGTATGCAATCATCATCATCATCATCACCATGTTATTACTTTTTCATTTACCACGTATGAGCTATTGTACCTGTGTCCCATAGGTACGGTTACAATATAGACATGTAATCGGAAATGTTTATACATTTAATGATATTTTTTAATTAATTTTCCGATTGATGAGTTTATTGCTATAGGCATCGCGAATATCCCATTATTGTAGGTATTATCGTGGTATTATTATTATTATGGTGGGTATCGCACGAACACGCGTAAACGATTTCCAATGCACAGCTAGTGTTTGTATGTATGTGTGTGTGTGTGTGTGTGTGTGTGTGTGTGTGTGTGTGTGTCGTTAAAATAGCCAGTAAAAAATAAAAATTAACTTCCATTACCGTAACTGTAAACAGCCAAATAGGTAATACAAACAAATCACCAATTAAAATTCGTTATTTGCAATTTGTTTAAACTGTTCAGGCGTGCTTAAAGTAGGTAGGTATATACTCGTATACCTACCATATTACCTATATACTAGTATGTACTTATTGTATTATTGCACCCTTTCTATATTATTGTTGTGTTACGACACAGCGAGTTTGCGTCTCTAGAATTCGTTTTCGCATCTCGGCGAACCGTCGTTTACCTATACTACACAACCATTATTATAGGTAGTAATACGTATAAAATTATCATATATTATTAACTATATCACACGACACAAGCACACACTGCCACGTGTATATGTACCTACGCACACGCTCGCTGGCTTACATAATAATGATAATGGTATATATAATAATAATAATATAATATTGTAAAATGTATGTAAAATTACTCTTTACTTACCTACCTTACTTTACACCGAGTCGCCAGCGACGTTGCAGAACATGATATATGGGTACAGTGCACCGCGTACTGCATAATATTATAATATTATCATGTAGTTGTTGGCTCGCGTCTTTTTTCTTTTTCTTGCATTAATATTACATATTATTATTATTATTCTATTATAATAATATGTAATTCATACGCCAGCCCACGCTCTCGGCGTTTATCGAAATATATGATGTAGTGCACGCGCGTTGGCAATTGCAAGCACTTTTCCGCCCTCGCGACAAACGACCGTTTTTTTAATATAGGCTTGCGATACTCGCAAGTTTTCGAACGGCGGAGTGGAAGTTGGTGGAACACAACGAAATGTCGAACTGGACTTTTATTATATTACCGTTATTACTTATTATCATCAGATAGATAATAATATACCGAGGTGGTAATTATAGGTGGGTAGATAAAAAGTATCTGATATACCTATACACGACCGTGGTTAGTGGCGGACCTCAAAGAGAGTGAAAGCAGTGTCGTCGGTATTTAATTTTTTTTACGTTGTATACCCGAACCGCCGTGGACGTCGATGATTGTGACGAAAGTTCGGTCTGCCAGGTGAATTATTATCAATATCTTTACGATATTCCCTATAGAGGTATATAGGAGCAGGGTAGGTACATCTTAACCAGCTTCGATCTTCGACCGCGGTATATGTTCTACGAAACGGATATTATCTCAATTTAACCACCAATAATATTATTCAGCCATTCAGCCATAAAATTGATATTATGTTGGCAGTACCTAAAGGTTTTCTTTTATCTAAAAGGCCTAGGACGTTTTAAACCGAGCTCGCTGGTCTCGTAATGTCACGTACCAACTGCATCGTACTTCCGCGTGTGTTATGACGTACCTACGTTTTCTACCGAATAATTCATCACTCGTGTATCGGTGATTTGTGCGCGTGGTCGTTTCCGTATTTTAATTTTTAATGTCCTCTTGTATACGAAACTAATACGTTGATATAACGCACTATGCCGCACAATCGCTTCAGAATAAAACATAATATTATCGTAGGTTACGTACTACCTATCGTCCGGTCGAAATCGCTTTCGTCCCGCGTCCGGCCATCATCATCATAAGTCACGAGTCGCAATACCATGGCAGGTATAATATATCGACTGATGTATTATTATTTATTATTATTTTTATATAAGTGGGTTCTGAAATAATTTCCGATGACGAGTGTTCGTCCGACACGCCAATATTATAATATTAGGTCATGGGATCTACGTGGTGTGCTCAGTAATTGCAGAGTGCATAACTCCATAATATCGTTGTATTGTACGATATACCTACCTAGGCCGTATATATACATCAAACGATATCGCCAAGCGAAAAGAATTTTTGCCACTTTATACGTAAATAATTATTGTGATGAAATAGTTGTCGTCGTATGGTCATATTAACGATAATAATGTAATAGTGTATGAAACAAGTCTGTTCGAATTTCAAGTATATAGATAGGATGCTACTAGATGATACGCCCTACTCGGTATCAACCTAAATACCAGAATAAGTGTTATCGCATCAATATAAAAATACTTACATATTATAAATATAATGTATAGGTAATAAAATAGATAGGTACAACATTATGTTACAGAGGAGTGTTACACTCAAAACACAATGATTTTAAAACGAGAAACAAGAATAACAAATAAACCTTAACGTCATAACTTATCGTTTGCACATCGTCCTTTTGTATATTATTATACAGTGTAAGTGTGTAACTAACATTTTTAATTTAAAATTTTTAATTTTTTGACACTAACCCAACATAATAGCATTATTGTTAATATTAGATTACGTGTGTTACGTACGTCCACTGTAATGAATTTCGTGTCTTAGAACAATGGACGTACCTGTTTATAATTTTATAATATTTTTCACGGTTAAATATTTAATAATGAATATAAAAGGTATACCTAGGTATACGTAAACAAAGACCAATGATTGTTTCGTAAACGAAACACGTAAGTACATGAAACTAATACCCATCCGTGATTAATACATCCTATTGGGTAAAAAAAAAAAAATCACTAAATACTCATCACTGATCAATTAATGCACACCACAATAATTGTATAATACGAAACGCGAAGTGGCAATAATGGTGAAGTGCCACACGCGGTTAGATCACAAAATAAAATATTTATTCTAACGTCATGGTTGAATTTAAATGTAACGAGAGTCTCAAGGACCATTATGATACCCTCGGTAGAATTTTAATTCAACTTTCGAATGACATGTCTTGAGCATTATTATTTCACGTTGATTTCGTATGTTATATTTTTAATATTCAAAAATATTTATGTAGGTACACGATGTATCGAGCGTGCATGTATAATATTATAATACTTACTGTTTAGTGGTGTACTGCTTGTATTACTTGTATTTAAAATAAAACTTGTACATTTTTACAAGATACAGTACGCTGAATTATTTTTAATTTTGTTCGCCCATGAATGGTATTTTTTAAATGTTGTGTTATAAAAAAAACCTTTCTTGATTTGATTTATAACAAAACCAAAATGAGTTTAAAAAAAATATTAATATAATATATTGACATATTGTAATGATGATATTATGTAATAGTATGAATGTGCAAGTGACAAAATAATATTATAATGTGTAACATATAACGTGGGTAATAGTAATTTATAGGTAAAGCTAGTGACCTGTAGGTACTTATACATTAAAATTTAATTTCCAATTAAAAATCAAAAATGTTATTGAATAATGGTAATCAAACATTCATTTTAATTTTCAAAAAGGTACGCTTTCTCCAGACGCAAGTATATCCAATTGCTGGTCTGTACTTGATCAGCGTAGTCTAGACATTGCAGACAAAAACGTACCTTAACTTAAAGCACATTTTATACTGGGTGATAAATGATAATCACATGTAAATAATATTTAAAATGACAACATTTTACTAAGCTACGTATGTCATTAATTTTACAAAATATCATATCATAAACGCTTATTATTTTATTTATGAGAATAAAAACTCCAAATGGCAGTTAACAGTTTAGTATAATATACTATAAAGAAATATAATACAGTTAAGAAACTAAAGGTAAACAGCTGTAAAATAATTTATAAGTATACATAAAAATAAAATAAATGTAATACCATAACATTTTATTGTTAATCCATATTAAATTTTAATAGTCAATATACTCAATATGTTAGCATAAATTGAAGTATAGGAATAAACATACAAAGATACAAAGATTGGTAGGTTGAAACTTTGAATTTATATTTATTGTTAGGTTGTGTTTGAATATTATTAATAAACACTACCTATACAGTATACCCTATTTGTATATTTACACTTCAACAGCTATAAGGTGAATTTATTATTTATATGAATTTCTTTTGTTACTCACAAAATATATTATAAAAATAAAACTTGATTAGATATACAAAAGAATTTAAAAATTATACTTACTTCTAGAAGAATAAAATCTTTTACAATAATCGTAATAATTGTAAAATTATACAAAATTTTTAAATTAGAAACTGTTTTTATAATATATTTATGGCTTCATATTTATAATTTTAATTTTAATTTGTTCTACTATAAATTAATATAATTTCATACACAAACTAAAACACATAGGTAGATACATTTTAAATTAAGCATTCCATTTAATATAATATGTAAATCTTTAAATAAAAAGTTGAATTATGTAATAAATTCTGTAATGGATAAAACTCTTGGGGTAATGGTGATACTTATATCTAATGAGAAAAAAATTGTTACAATGGTTCTCATCAAAGCACCTAGGTACTTAAAAATACATATTCGAAACAATTCAAATTTACACTTACGGTTTTAATGAATACATTCTATTATTAAATTAATTAAGTATTAATTAATTGTATACCTTATATAAATTAAAACATTGAGAAATAATTGAAATGTCTGAACTCTAAATGTTTATAAACAGGCATAGGCAGGTATACAAATAATCATCGTAAACTGTCTTAGATAATCGGTTAAATATTACTTATACACCTAAGTGTTGTACAATAATATTCTATAAACAGTAAACAGAAAGTATTAAGTAATTATGATTTATAAAAGGACGTTTAGCTAGAGCAATCTGAACATTAAGAACTAGGAACTAAATTACAAAATATTTTATGTGCACTTTCATTTCAGAGTCCCGTTACTAAAAGGAGGCAGGTAGGTACTAACTATGATTAATGTGTGTATAATATAATAATAATATTGTTTCGTATACCACGTGAAAGAATAACGTCAAACAGATAATATGTTTTCATTGATGTTTAAAACCAAGCGATAAAATGTGTTGTATAGATAACAAAATTGTTGGTGCTTACAGCAGCTTACTCGAAATTGGCATGTTATAAACAAAATATATATCGTTTTTTAACGTTAAGGTTCATAAATAATATCGTATATAGGTATTATTATGTTTTCGGCTAACGCTTAATTGAGATTTGAGTGTACGGATGATTAAGGCCAATTTGATTTTAATTACCCTCGACGGTTGATCGATATAACATTTGTATTTCATAATAAATATACACCTCTTAATAATTACTGTATAATCCATCTCATAATATTCTGTGGCCATGTGCCCTCGTGTATAGCCTGTAGGTATACAATATAACGTCATAATATTATATTCTATCTAATATAAAATTATAATAACATAATGTAGTACCTTATGAGTTATGATCTATATAATAATATAATATCGTATAGGTACCTACCTACATCATTGACAAGACATTAAAGTTACCTGTGTCATAATACCAGTCGTGTATTATTATTGTATTAAACTTGTGGTAGGCAAGAAAAATATAAACTGCAACATACAATATATTATGTTACCTATAATTACTGCAGTGTGTAATAATAATAATAATATTAAAGCTGTATTTTAAGACGATTTTTTTATAAAAAATATTCATTTTTTATCTTATGAACATTGTGTTTCCCATACAGGAATCGGAAGCATTTTTATCTGTTGAAGCAGAAGACTCTAGTCATAAAAATGTCAGAGACAAAAGGACGATCGGCTTCTTAAGGCAGCTGTTTCCAAATCTATCTCAGGTAAAATTCAACACTCTTTAAATTTTAATACATAGACGATAGACCAATCTATAACAAACTTAATAACATTCACTCTCTTCACTATTAATCGTTCTGATAACTACTGTACAGTCAATCGACGTTGAATAAAAAACAATAGGTACCTATCAAAAGTGAGTTTTCGATAATATCCCATACTTTAACGAAAAATTAGTAACTCGGCGTTTCAATCAATGCGCAGACAGTTTACGGATAATTTTGTGAAATGGTATTATTGTATTATTATCTCGATGTGAAATGCTGACAAATTCTCTAGAGCGTATCGGTCATTCGTGTAGCTTTTGCGTTATACGACACCGGATTTACGAGTGCTAGCGTGATATACTACAGGCACTCTATATGATGTAATTTCGTTGTAGAAAATGTAGGTTATTAATGTTTGAACAAATTAATTAGTAACGCAGTTCCAAACGTTGCGATCATTAAATTAAAATATTTAACATAGATGTTATATCACGGCACGTCATGACCTATATATTCAGAGCTGTGTTGAATATTTACGTTTTTCAGTTTTTTGTTTAAAAAACCATATCATTATATTTGTTATCTACATATTATTTATATAAAATGTATTTTAGATGATTCGCTTTAACGAGCAGAGTTCAATATTTCGTTTCAAGTATTTCATCATAATATAATATACACCTGTCTTCAAACGCATCAACCATAATATAACATATTATTTGTTTCTGGCTAAGTTGAGTCGTATCCACATTTTTGTCGATAGCACTGAACGTGTTTTAGGAAATGTGTACACATCATAAGTCATAAGACATACATTCGGTGATACCTCTATTAATTTTCCATTCATTTTATGAAATGAATGAAGTACTGCTCTTAAGATTATGGATGAAATATTATTGACCGATTATGAGCAACCAAACGAGTATTGCAGAACGTCGAGTATAATAAATTATTACTATAAACTTGAATATTACCGTTTCGTCTGTTACATTCGAACTATAGACATGAAAACATTTTCGTCGGTTACCTATATCGTTCGACAGATATTCAAGTGTTCTGGTTAAAGGACAACCACATTTTATGCCAAAACCAGTATATGGCGTACACCTGGACATGCGATTTTTAAAACTCTTACGACATACACTTATAGTGGTTATGTAAATGATTATAATAGGTACATATTATATTATCAGCCATGTAAACCTACTGTACAAACATACTATAATTTTCCTAAGCGATTCGAACATAGAAATTAATTCACACTCGTCGATTGCTATTTTTAATAGTAGGTTCCTACATAAGTACCTACTTATATACCTAATGGACAATGGTTACCACCTACACGCGTGGCTTATATACACAATTTAATAAAGGTTTAAACTTTAAAAACAATGACATACGATCGTTTGATGAATATTTCACATTCCCCCGAGCAACAGCCCAGAAGTATGTTAATGTTCTCAAATCCCACAGACTCCATTTTCCTAACTATTTACCTTGTTCTCTTATGTATAGGTTGGTGCCTACTTGTAGTTATTATTACGTGACTGTATCGTTTGACAAAAAATACACAAGGCTTACGTGTCAGCCCGTTAAGCACATAATATAAACATATTATTATAGATACTCTGGTACTATAATATCACACGCATTACGCATCAAACTTGGTAACTTCTCAAATACAACAAGAAACCTATCTGCTTTATGCTTTGAAAACTTATAAATGCAATTTTTATGGCACAATAATAATATGCACACAAAACCATGCACAATGTCTACTATATTTATTTTAAAGCTAACGACATTAACAAACCATTTCGCCTAAACATATTTTCTTCACCATTGAAAAAAATAGAAATACAATAAAGTCTCGTTTATTATAAAAATCGTTCTATTGTTTTATATTGTATTTGGGATACCGGCTAACCACGAAGCATCGTAATGATCATTGATCAAAGTGTCGTATTAGTCAATCGCACTTTAAACCGTTATAATAACTATTTGTCTTTGTATATGATCAGCAATTCTGATTCAATATTAAGATATCGGTAATAACAACAACAAGGACAAATAATACTTCGTTTTGAAATCTGTTAAAAAGAACATGACCAGAAGCCAGTTTAGTTTATGTAACTGTCTATGGAGTATTATAATAATAGTAATAGTTTATATGGGTACTGTGTAATTTCTAAAGAACAGCCATGACATTAAAAAAGTTTGCTACTTACCTCTTATAATCATAAAAGGCAAATGTGATTAGAATCAGTATATTATATTATTTAGAGTCCAACAGACGACTGTTGTCGAGCGATTCGTTTAATAAAAATAAATGTCTACCGTTTCTTAACCTATTTTACTACCTATTTCAAATTAAAAACAGTTATTATCAACGAAGAATTGTATCGTTTAATGAGTTGTAAATGGGTTTGTAATATTTCGTTATAGGTACTTTAAGATTTTTCAATTGACACTCGATAATTTGTTTTCTGAACTTATCATCTAACGAATTGATTTTAAAAAATAATAACAACAACTGTACCTACCTATTTGAACTACTTGAATTCCCAGCTTGTGTACTTATCAATTTAATTAATTTAAAGAAAAGTTTGATAAGTATATGAAACTACATATCACACAAAATTATTCTTTCTTTTTTTCGAGACGCAGATATAAAATGTGTTTTCAGTATTGCGTTTATCGTTAGTGGTTTTGTTACTCCGAGTCATAAAAAGCTTAGAAAGTATAATGGAAAATGTATTACCTAATCAAATACAACATTCAACGGCTACGATCACAACAATAAATAAATGGATAAATATGGAAATATTTTATAACTGTAATACACACAATATTAGTTGGGTGACTTGCGATTTGAAACTCATTATTATTTTTTACTAACGACAATGATGACACAATATAATTCAGCTGTTTCATTGGACGTATTAACCACGAATGTATATAAAAGTACCTATTACACAAAGTGGGCAAAACAAACAATAATGTACTTGGCAAATAGGCGAAATAATATATAGTATATACTTGCCCAACGACTATACGTCTTATACAACTTGTTCTTTCCGAAGACACCACAGACAACAACTCTATATTAGTAGTCTGATGACGACGATGTTAGAGAAAATTGTTCTAACACGTCTATAATAGTATAATAAATTATTATGTACCTACAAAATAAAAATGATTAACCAACAATCATCGCAAATGATAATCTACTCTGACTAGACGTCGACTTTCTATATACCTATATGTAGTATATCCTGGGCATAAACGAGTTAAAAAGTTAAAGTTTAGTTAATTTTAGCTTTTTAACTTAACATTTTTAAATTTAATTTGAATTAACTTATTTTTAACTTAACTGATTTTTATTAATGTAAACGTTATAAATAAAAAGTTATTTTCGATCGAATCCAAGTTACATTAATTTATAAATAATAAATATAATTAAATAGTAAAATTATTATTAATGATGCATATTACATAAACATTTACTTTTATTATTTTAAAACATATTAGGTACTGGAAACTTATATATTTAAAAAAAAAAAACTTAACTATAACTAAATTAATAAGTTAATTGTAAGTTTCAATATAATCTGAGTTAAAAAATTAGAAAAACTATTAACTTTACATTTTTTTTAAATGTTTTCTATCAACTTAACTTAACTCAATTGAAAATAATCATTAGCTTGCCCAGGCTTGACTATAGGTTGATATCTACTTGCAGACACCAAGAAGTGCTCAACTATATTTTTCCTTTGATGTTTTATATGCCTAATTTGGCAAGTTGATTTTCTAATCACTATACAGTTATTTTATTTACATGTGAAATAAAAATGAATGGCATCGATTAAAAAAAGTAAGAAATTTAAACATTTTTTTTTTAATATCCCTATCATTGTAAATAATATATTAATTTAAAATTATGTAAAATATAAACACATTCCTACATTAACCTAGCAAAAAACTTTGATAGAGTGATAGAGAATAACCGTATAATATTATACTATTTACTTGTTTGAAACTTTGTAATACATTTCCATAGGAAATTTGAACCTTATTTAAATGTTGGATATGCCCTAAATAACATCGACATGACTTTGACTAAATCTGCCTGAAACAAGTTTCGTTCATATCACATACACGATGCACACAATTAATAATAATTATACAATGATAAAGTGCCGATGCCAAATTTTTAAACTATTTATACTTTCATAGTTGGAGAATTATTAAAATAATAACTACTGTTACTGTACTCGTACACGGATTGAGATGGCGCAACAGCGCTGACGTAATTCATTGTCTCTTGCGCGTAACATGGTAATAATTAATAATATTAATAATGTATGGGAAACCTATATTATATTATACAGTTCAGTTATTAATTGGAACGAATAAGCTTATTGTCGAATGTGTCATGTGTGTACCTATATAGAAGAGAAACACGTCGGCGACTGTCGTGATACCCAGCGTGGCGGTTTCTTCTTCTCCAATATTTTAATTTCTATACCACTTTATATCAAGGAATCGGTAAATTATTATATAATAAACTCATTTGAAAATATGAACAATATTGTAATTTTTAACCGTCACTAAAGTAGTAAACTAGTCAGTATATGTGTCAAAATGCAAACACTTGACGCCGGTGTGACAGGAAAACAATACCTCCAGATAATTATACCCCCGGAGGTATGATATTGATTTTCGTAGGTCAATAGTACCCCCGGCACAAATTTCCTAGGATATTAATACCCCATGGGGGTAAGAAAAACCTGGGAATTTTATACCTCCGGTATAATATTCCTAGGATATCCTTATCTCCTAAAATTTCATAACGGATGGTACAAATATCCTAGGATACACCGGCACTGCCAAGACTGCAGTCTAATATACTCGATGGTGTACCTGTAAACTATATATTATCCAACATTAATTATTGACACGCAAAACCGACTAGGTACCTATATTATAATGATGATCTAATGACTTCCAACTGTGCATTTTTTTAAATAATAATTTTTTGACTGTGCAGTGATCACAATGAGAGCTTAAACCTTACCACACACCATAGATGTTATTACAACAATTCATTCTTGTTCATATTAGTTACGTGGTTAAAAAGAGGATTAATAATTTATGGACTAATGTCTAAAAAAGGAATAACAATAATTATACTTTTTAAACTAACCTTTTAATCTAGACCCGTTTAAATGATTTATACAGGTGCATATTTAATGAGTTTAGACCATCTCTTTTTTAATTTCTAGATTCACCCTTACACTCCTACACTTATATGCATGTCTGAACAAACATCTTTATTCTTTGAATATACGGACAAGTTTCAATTTATCGAACTTTTCGGTCATTTCTTGTTTATTGCTTGTATCGATGTCCATTGGCTATTACAGTTATACACTATAATTTACTCAGCTTACTGCCAAAACTCATTAATAGCAACATTTTATTTTTTTTTTAAAAAAGCTCTATCTAGTGAATACATTTAAGCTCTACAATTTGTGTAGAGCCACTTAACATCGAAATCTCTATAAACCATTTTTTTTTTAGCTTTTTCGATATTCATTATTATTGTATTTGTTTTATTGTAAGATGTAAGAATTCATTAAACAGTTAATGTGATCTGTTAGTGTGATAGGTTTATGTGATATAAAACAATAAAAATTATAATATGCTTTTGCATCATAGGAAAAAATATAAACAAAATCCTATAGAGAAGCTTTGTAATTATTTAAAACGCCTGCAAATGCATTTACCAACAATTTCATTTTTACCGATAATGAAATTTGGCAAGAAGCCGATTATATTGTCGTTGAAGTGACTGTAGCAATACGTATGTAGGAAATCTTGTACTGCGCGATACGATGGTTTTATACGAAGCAATTTAAATATTCACCGGTGTTTCACTCACGCGACCGACTATAGAAGGCTTATGATAATATGACCGAGTAAAAGCATTGATTATTCGTATATGTATCATATTTAATCAATTTTAATAGCTGTTAACAAGTATATAATATGAAATATAATTTATTGTTATATTATTATCTTGCCGTGTTACGCACGTGTCGGACAAAGGTTGCAAAGAATAATAGGCATTGTTGGGCACGTCCATTTAACGATCGTGTACCTACTCGATATTTTATAATATATTGTAATAATATTATTGTACACATAACACTTGAGTGTGATGACTGAGCAATAGGCAATAGCTGCAGCATAATATTATACAGAGTGGGGTTTTTGACGTACTGCAAGCATTCCATTTCTCGGACGATTACACTGGATTTTCATACATAATATTACAACTAATTGTCGGAAGAATAATTGTATAACTATTAAAAGTCCATCCCATACTTGATGGGGGAAATATCAAAATAATCCTTAATTTTCTGTTGATATTTTTTTCAATTCCATATTTTCTGTAACAACATTTTCATATACTGTCGGATACATTTGGTAACCGATGATCGTTTTAAAATAAACTCGGCTGAGAAAATGATGGTCACACATTGAATAAATTCATCACAACACTATATAATATGCTTCAGTTCAGTTGCGTCATTGCAGTTGTTGGGGCCAAATGGTTGCGGGCCATTTTTAAATCATTATCAGCCCAAGCCTGTAGTTATAGATTATAGCAATAGCAGTAAACACCAATAATGTCTTAGTCAAACTTTTTGACCTCAAGATATTATACTATATTATATTAGGTATAATGTGTAATTCATGTTACTTGGATCATCCGTTCATGTCACGGTATTAGAATGTCTAGAACTAATGTTCGTTACTCTTGTTATGACGTCATGCGATTTGAAAACTACCAAAATAGGGTGTATGCTAAACATAAGCTCCCCACCCTGAATTCTATGTATAGCTTGCATACCGACCCGTGGCTTGGTTAGCCTAACCTCGCTGTAGTACAATCTTCTCGGCGCATTTAAGCACATATTTTAATAATGGTGCAGATGATTTGTGCCTATACATAGGTAACACATTGTACATATATGGTGCTACTAATATAGTTATCAAAATCAGAGGTAGGATGGTTAGACATCATCATACACAATATTCACAAAGAAAAATAAACAATAAAATCGACATACCGACAGACCGACAGACCGACAGACCAACAAAACTAATGACGAAATACCTTAGTGTACCTATGTTAGTTATTTTCTACATCCATGACCTAAGGATCACCCTAGTGTATATGTGTGTTTGGGGTGTCACCTGTTTTTCTAGATAGTCGACCGAAAGATCCAACAAATCACGCGATTCGTATTCCGCGTGATCGGCAGGTTGGTGCTCCGGGGCGGCGGAAATGGTGCGGGTGGCACCGCCCCCACTGGCGGTGCCGGTGGTGAATCCGGTGGCAATGGTGGCCGGCGGATATCGATCACGTTACCCACGTTCCCGCCGTCCACGGACGACGAGGACGAAGATACAGCGACGGTCCTGCCGACGGCTGACACGTCGTCTTCACCGGCATCACCGTCATCAGACTCTGACCCGGCTGCATCGAGAATAGTGGAGCCGGTTTCATCTGAGGCGGCCGCCACCGATTCTGCGCCAGCCGCATCCGCAGACTCGGCCACCGCTGCTGACTCAGCCGTAGCGGCTGATTCAGCCTCCGAAGTGGCAGTCACCACAGCCGAACCAGCGGCTACCTCTGCCCCGGTCACCACCGCCTCCACCGAAGCCGCCCCGGTAACAAACGCCGCTCCGGCCGCCGGATCAGTCTCCACCACCACCGTCGCCGCCGCTGCTGCCGCCGCTGCAACTGCCACCGCCAACGCAATCAGCTCGCCAACCACTCAAATGGTAAATCCCGAGGACGGCCCATGTCGGTGCATGTTATAAACTGCAGTACAATATATTATTATTATTATTATTTTAAGAACGTCATTATATTAATATTTTTAGACGTAATAATATCCATAATATAATATGTTATGCTAGTTAAAACAACAACAATACAGGCGTATTAAAGGTATGCGTATATCATAATTTATAACAAAATTATGATAGCTGATTAGTGATTAGTGTTAAGTTCGTGCGAGTCCGAAATCCGAATGTTTAAAGGCACTGCTTGATGCATGTGTCGAATGATTTAATACGATAATATTGCGATTGGAGTTTTCATTTTTATGAGGCCGAGGACGTTATAATATACATGCCTAGACAAGTCTTGGATAAAAATTCCATTTTTAACACTATCGATATGCAAGCATACCTACACCGTATTTGGATGGAGCTGCAATATTTTTAACCGATTTTTACTTTTAATATTCGACGAGGACAAGTTTGAAATTGTTAACCATAATAATATTATAACTGTTACAAAAAAGAAATTACGTATGTCACATCCTGAGGTCCTTAAGGTTCGAGTTTTTATGATTTTTATTTTTCGGGATAATAAACGGGTAATTCTCACAGTACCTAAGTTTAATAATAATGACCATTGTGGTTTGCCTCAATGTCTACCTACAATAGTGTCATGCGATGGTGACGGGAAAATTATTAACCGATTGTAGTACCAATTGCGATAGAACTACCTACGATCTTTATCATATATCATTATGTAATTTTATCATCGTAGACTAGAAAACACAACTATTTAAAATCGTCCGTTTTCTATAAATTTGACGTATCGACCAAACTGTACCTATTATTAATCCACCTTTTGTTACTCTGACGTGATCGGTATTCGTATCATATACCAGGTAATTGATATTATGTATACATATAAACGCGACGTCATTATTGTTGTTGTTGTTGATATTTTAATTTGCTTTTTGTATAATAATATAATGTGTTGTATTGTTTTTGATCCCGCGGTATTAGTTATAAATTATAATATGGCTTGCGAAAATTTGCTTTTTTGATAGTGTCGTTAACTAATATTGTTAAAATCAGTAATATTACTGAAACGATTAACAATATTATTATTATTAACACTGGAAACCTCATTTCCGCCGCATTGAAACTCAGGTATATAAGCCTAATATAGTTTATTAGTGAATTATATTGATACCTGTTATAGGACATTGTGTGTGTGTGTGTGCATGTGGTATATATTAATTATGAATTATATATTGTATTTAAGATATTTGGATAACATACCTACTATGCTATTATAATATATTATTATCTTACTTGCAAATAATCACATAGGTAATTAAATAAAGATAAACAAGTTGTGTGTATAGACACCCCATACCTATATATTTAAAATGAGAACGAAGGATCAACATTAGTTAGAGACGCATTAAACAACGTAAACGTTCAATGAACATAATATTACAGCTGTTTAAGCATGTCGGATTGAAGATAGGTGTATATGAGCGAGATGAACGAGTAGGGACTTTAAAAATAATTCGTGATAATAGGTTTGGAGAGTCAATAGATCCATTAAGACGTCTAATGATAAATTTTAATATTGTGCTTTCCAAGGCTGGGCATTAACGAGTTAAAAAGTTAAAGTTAAGTTAAAAAGTTTATTTTATTTTAACTTTTTAACTTAACTAGTTACTTTTGGCTTTTCATTAACTTAACTATTAATTTACTAAATTATAATAAATGTCATTTTTATGAGTTAAATTAACGAGTTAAAATTTCATTTTAAGAAGTAAGTTAAGTTAATTTATTTTGTTTTTAATTTTACTATAATATTTCACTATTTCAGTCTATTTTGTTTGCATAGCAAAAAATATTTACCGTGAATTTTTTTAAGTTAGCAATTTATATCATTGGAATCTAAATTATATGGAAATACTGTATAAAGTATAAACACTATGGTCTATAATTTAGTTTTGGGTTGGAAAAAAATTATGTACCCTTCTTGTACAAACAAATTAACTTTTTTTAACTTAATAAAAAGTTAACAAAAAGTATGTATCAATTTTTAACTTAACTGAGTTAAAAAAAATTATTAACTAGCCTAGCCTTGATGCTTTCGATCAACAATGAAAAATATTCTTAACTAACAAGCTACTGGTCGGTAAACCATATGGTGTAGAGCTTAGTGTTGCAAGGCATAACACGTTACGGCTCTGAAGATCGATTTAATAACCTTTTATAAATGATTTGTATGAGCTTGTATTATATACATTAATAATTAATGTATTAAAGTAATATTATAATATTGTATGTATCATAGGTATATAATTAAACTCAACACTGTTTTATTTTATACTGCGGTGTAAGTATAACACTGCCGTTCGCTTTTAATAATTATATTTTCATCATTTTAAGGATAACACTTTTTTAGAGAGTTAATTGCGTTGATTGTTTTTTTTTTTGGAAAAAACGATTACGGAGTTTCAGATCGTTTTCGGTTTAATAACAGGTTTTTTTACGTTATTTAGATATTAATACAAGCTTTTTGAGAAAATTAGTGTTTATTGTTAACCTAAATAAATAATTCAGCTTATTGTTTATGTATATATTTTTTCGTATTTCGTTTGACTTTTATAATAGAGGTAATCTATTTAGAATACGTTTATGATCGTCTTAGCAGTCCCTAGGCATAATAATTATATCCACCACAAAATTCTACCCGTGTTGAATAATGAATAGTGTCACCGACTATACCTATTATGGTTGGCACGAAACTTCTTGTATACCAATGCATGATTTTTGGTTGATTGGGTGATATTAATGTACAATAATATTATAATATAACATTGCATGCGACAATCATTCGTAATGTGGTAAGATTTTCAATGAAGTTTTAATTATTGCTGTTTTATTGTTATAGCCATTGGACTCAGACAACACAGTGGGCACCGGCATTGTAAAGAGGACAGCGAGGGAAGTTTCGACAAACGAACCGAGCTCAACGAAAAAACGGTCACCGCTCTCAGACACTGGTAAAATATGACGGAATTAAGTATAATATTACAAACTAAAATATTATATTATAATGTTGATAATTTATTTTTTTTTATTATTTATTTCAATAATTAATTAGGTGAATGGTAATTAGTATATTATTTTTGACTATTTATTTTTATGTGTGAACATTAATATTGTAATAAAGTTAATTTATGTATGATATCCTTTTTTTTCTTTCATTTATTTTTTAAATTGCACGTGGAATAAGGGCTACATTCTCGTTAGTTTGGTAATACTCTGTACCGCATATTCTAATATTTCACTGTAATATTATAATTTAATGTATACTGAAGACACCGATAACATTTATTGTTCTTCTTCGGGATAAGTACCTTTATATTGTTGTTGTTATTATTATTATTATTATTATTTATATCAAACGTTTTATTTTAAAACTTACAATAAATCGAAATCTCTGTTTAGATACCTAAATCTAAACCGCATATTAAAATAAAATATTTTCAATTCGTATCGGTTTCATCGATAACCAAATACTATAGACGTTCTGCAGTAGCTGCAGTTGTTATGATACATTATATTATTATTAGGTATAATAATAATAATAGTAATAATAATAATAATAATAATAATATGAGACGACACGGGTCGGAGTTAAACCGTTGAAATCAAATTGCTTGAACGGCACTGTTATTTAGATGCCCAATTTGAATTCGGTCCGATTGAAAACTCTTCGGCCCACGTTCATTTTGGTTTGCCGACGACCTTTAGTCAGTTGGTGAACCAATGTATAGCCATATAGCTTAACGTCGATCTTAGATGTAGATATCTATAGTAAATTATAAATTATATTATGTCATGTTTGAGAGTAACTTTGGGCATGATATTAAGTTCGATTTTCTTGCAAAATTTAGTGACACCGATTGCTGTAATCAGCTGGACGTTATTCAAAGCGTTAATGGTATATCGAATACAACGTGTACACGCTATATAACTGCAGGAAAATCGAATTTAATTAAAGATCCAACGTTGTAATTGGTGTTGGCTGCAGTTTGCAATAAGTCAATGAAAGAAAAAACGTCTATTATTCTACTCCCACACAAAGCCACATATAATATTATAATATATTAGTATAGTTTTTGTAAATCAAAAACTTACATTTGTGATTATCATTAGGTCGAAAACGATTTGTATATAATATAACACGAGTATTGTATAATCGCTGTACCTGTGTAATTTCAGATTATATTATATTAAATAGATTTAGGTACATTATACTGTTTATTTTACATATTCGTTACATTTTAATCTTCTAACTAGAAAATAAATGCTTAAATATTAATAATATTATATTATATTGTAATAATAATAGTACCTATGTATAAAGTTCCTGAAATAATAATATCTTTTTATCAGGATAATGTACAATAACACTTGGTGTATGTATGATACAATCGACCGTCGGTAACTCGAACAGTCCTAGAGGAATGGCACATAAACGTTGTACAAGACGGTTTTAATGGGATTAATGGGATTATTCCAATAATATTATTATCTTCGTTCGATTTACCGATAGTCGGCTGTACACAACCACGACCGTCGGCTGCTTCGTCGTGTCGTTCAATCGGACTGATTATGATAATATTATGATGTCCAAGGTCGCCTGCGGGCGTAAGTCACAAGTGCAGCAGGTGGTCGGACCAATTTATTCGGTAGAAAGTAGAAACTCAATTTGCCATCGTCACCCAAAAACGGTGTGCTGGTAGATCATCCCCCTCCCACTACCTTAACTGCAGGCGCCCTTGACAACATCGATATATTATAATAATTAATAATTAATACATTGATATAATATTGTATCGTCGCTCTGTATATGATCTGTGCGCACAATACATGTAAGGCTGCACAGTGTCGGTTTACAAAACCGACACCGAAGACTATAAGTACCGTACTTAAAACATCAACCACGGTTGCACACGAAACACGCTCACGTTGTGAGTATTTTATGTATAGCACGCTTATTATTATTATTATTATTATTAGTATTATCATTACCTAGTGGATACTATATGTCTATATTATAATATAATTGTATATATTATATACATATAATATTGTCCGTATCGCGTTATACCTTACACCCACCCACAAACACTTCATTGGAACCATAGTAATTCCGTTAAGTGCCCGCGCCGATTGTCCTGGGAGTGCTTTCGTAAAAAAAGTAAAACAAAAAAAATACCAAAGGTACGGCGGCGGTGGCGTAATGAAACGGTCTGTGTCAATATATGTAATATATTTATTACATATATATATATATTATATATGTAATATGGTATAATAATATGTGTGCTGAAAGGTGCGTGCTCTCGATTATTGACGGTCACACTGGATATTTCTGTATCCCTTCTGTGTCCGCAGAAAGAAAAATAATAATATAACGGGCTGGTATGGTGTTGTGTTCTAGATAACGACGTGTCGTCTGACAATTCTTTGTCATCGAACACCGGCGACGACGCCCAAGCCGAGACAGTCGCGGACGAAGACCCCAGGAACAAAAGGTTCTTATTCAACTTGCGAGGAGGAGCCGGCGGTGGATCCGGCAACTTTTTATTCGACCTGATCCGAGTGAGTGTAATTATATTTATACATAGGTATACACGTCGTTATTTTTTCATCATATGACGTGTGTACGTTGCCTAATTTTTCTATTTTCCGATTATGTTACGGAACTGCAAAAACACAACCAACTGTTTTATAATATTATAATAATAGCATCTAATATACGACCCAAAAAGAAAAAATGCTTATTACCTATTTATGTATAATATGACGCTGTGTACACATACCTACTACTTGCGTCCCAAATTGATAAGATCAGATAACTATTATGTCTGATAAGTGTCCGGATAGAATTTGACGATCACCTACGTGTTTATTTTCAACACGATAAAATTGTTTTGTTTCTTATTTATTGTAAGGGCAATGGGGCATTAATGAGCTAAATTGAATTCACTAAACGTTTAAAAATAATAACAGATAAGACTCCCGGACTTGAAAAAAATTAGTGTCCTTTGACATAATGGAACTCAACCTACTTTTTGGGTGCCCATCTCACAAGCCATCAATCCTCAAATAAAAAACTAACATTTAAGTGTACCTATAGAGGTAATTATGCCATTAACGACTTCTTGTAAAAGAATTAATATTATTTTATTATTTAAAATATATATTATTAACAATGTATACTACATTTTTTTTCAATTTATACATTACTTATATTTCATTAAAAAAATAGAGGAGATCCGCCCACCTGTCCCAATATAGGGGGAAATTATTATCAATATGTTTTTGGGACGCAGTAGTAACACGCAGGCACGCAGTCTAATATAAAAATATAATACTGTACAACACACTATTCTAAGCTTTTAAACACTCAACGCCACGATCTCTGCCATAACGTCCTAAAATCACATAATTATAATTCATCTGCACACATGCATAATATTATATATTATAAGAATACGCACGAATGTAGAATCTTGTGCGGTCCTGAAACACCAAAACTGCAATATTAAATGTACAATGATACGCTTACGATTACCGTACCTATTTTACAAGCTTACAACTCGTCCGTTGCCATAGGTACCTACCTACCTACTGAACGTCATACAAAACGACGTGCCGATTAGTTAACTATATCAAACTTTATAATAATAATTATTTACTACGAAAGCACCACTACTGCAAACTGTAAAGTACAAACTTTCCGAACGAAAATTAACAATAACGCAATATTAGCCTCGTTTATTAATATTATCACTGAATCTCCGAGGCCCCGGTTTCGGTAATGTTTCGCTCCGAACTTTATAGTATCTAATGCATCTACGGTAGTTTTACGAGGTACAATTCTGTAGATTCCACATGTTGATTATGCGGGTAACAATAAATAAACAGATAGTGTAATATTTCCAATTAATCACAGTGATAAAAATTACAGTGGGTCAACCGCTAATGAAATAAGTGCCCGCTCAGTATTACCATGTATTATCAATAATTATCATATGAACGAAAAACATTCACCGGTCATCTAACAAGGCCAATATTCCAACGAATTCTTAAGAAAAACGAACGCCCACTTTGTAATAATAGGATATCGTGTTTCATTTGTTAAAAAAAACCTACCTATAGGACAACTTTTACTTGAAACCTGTCAATTGCATTACCTACAATATATAAGCTTGAAACGGTTTTACGGTCGAGTTATACAATGAACCATAGGTACGTTTTGTTGGCATTTCTAAGGCGTTAACCACATTGAGTAAGTCGCAGCTGCAGTACGAAAACTAGTAAAATGTTTAGAGTGAATTTGGATTAAAATGATTTTGATAAAAGGGTTAGGTGTACCTACCTAATGAATCAAATTGTTTAGATTTAATTGTCCAACTGAGAAACTATAGGTACTGGATTAATATACACTTTTTATTGATTACGGAGACATGGAAAAGATCTATGATAAATTAGAAAATTAAGAATTTCAAACACCATAAAACAATTTAAAAATTATAATCTACGACTATAATTCTGTGCACTCACATAAATTATTTATTAAATAAATATTAGATTATGTTATGTTGAACCATTATAGCACAGTTTACTATCGTTGTACAACTTTTCTTGCATTTGTTTGTATATAATATATTATAATATTTTTGTATAGAATTATATTAATGATAATACATTTTTCATCCCAGATTAAACAATAAAACATTAGAAGTGTTTAGATTAATATAATTAATTTTTATAAATTATTATTATTATTAATCCAATTGAATTTTGTCTGTACAAAATATGTATTATTAATAATGGTATAATAGTAGTGTTTTAATAATACTTAAAAAAATAGTTTCAATACACAATTTATTTATTTGAACGACGTGAGCAGAGATCAAACATTTAGGAATCTGAACTTATGATAAATTGTCATGCATGTCAAACTGATGCAATCACGTTCATTATTCTGAGGATCTTTCAAAACGAATGAAATAATTCAAAATTTTAAACATGTGTTAATTTGAACATAAAATATTGTAGTGCCAAAGTAACAGTGCAATATCATAAAATGACGAAAGTGCAGTAATTCAATATATTTCGTCTCTTGTATGAGTGAAAGGCATAAAATAAATTATTAAAAATGTAAAACCAATTAAATGATAAGACCCAAAAAATGTTGACCTATATTGCACAAATAATGAGTGCAGTAATCGGAGTTGATAAATACTAAAATACGATGTATCACTAAGCGGTCATTCTGAATCACCCCATATTATAGCACCAGATTAGATAAAGGTACAAATATTAATGTAGTACGACCGCGAGATATAATAAAGTTATCGTTCTGGTCATCGTGGTAAACCACCTGGGGGAGGTGTACATAATGATGTAATATAGTTTTTTGTACCATAATGATTTAGTTTGCTCTCGTCGAATGGAATGTTATCCTAACCCTTTGTCGACCTTGTTACTTATTCAATTAATTAGCGTTTTTTATGTGCTCACATAATTTAACAAAAGTTGTTTGCACTGTCGCTGATCTAAATTTAATTAAGTAAATCGTGTCACAAGTTTTTAATTAGAAAAAAAAAACAAGTCAATGTGCTTATTTTTTTCTTCAAGTACCAACCCATAGTTGAATAGTTTGCTTTAACAAGTGTTTTACATATAATGTTTAAAAATCAATTCTTATATAACGAGGTCAACAAAGGGTTTTTTTCTTAAGAAAAAAAAAAAGGTCTTAAAAAAATATGGTTTGAGGCAAAAAAAGATTTTTTGGTTTTCAATAGAGGGGAGCGGACAGAGCAGCTAGGGCTGCCGGTGGTTTCTACAGAGTGGTCGCAGGCACCGACCCAAACACATTAACACTCGCACAGCCTCTTCAATATCCATCGGTAAATAACTTAATTCCTAGTCAAACATTTTTTTTTTTAGATTTTTATAACATGTAGCTCCCGAAATTAAAAAAAAAATCTTAAAAATCAAGGATGACACTATATTGTGCGCACTATCACTCCGTCCTAATAATAATATACAGTGTAGGTAATAAAACACTATTTATCACACTAAAAATTGATTAGGTACAACACTTGTTGTTATAATACCATAATGCACCGCGGTAAATTTAAGACATAAATAATCATTTAAACATAATAAATTATCGTTTTGTTGAAAAATATAAACTCGTTGAGTGTATGATGGAAGTCAAGTGATCACTTCTACTTTCACTAACCACTATTATGTAATAACCCAGTGCAATTCGTGACATAAACTGTCATCGTTCGTTAGTGCGTCTAAAAAACAAGCACTTGCCAATATCAAAACTTATATTTATGTATCTATATTATTATAATGCATCACCTACGTCCTACATTGACTACATCTGGATTATTTTAAACAACAATTAAACAATATTTACAACTTGTAACACTATTGATATCAATTTTACGAAACTGCAGTATGACTCCGTCTATTTGTATGAATGGCAATATCAATGCACATAAATGGTTTTTTTTTTTAAGTTTATGTAAAATATATACATAACAATAATTTCGAGAGAAAAAAGTAATTTGTTTTTAAAATTCATTGTCCAGTAAAACGGAGTGGACTTTTCCCCCCTTAATATCTGATAAAATCAATATACTTACCATAATATTATAATATTTAATTTCTCTACAACCATACAAATAAATAAACATTTAAATCTGTATAATGTACTTGAGCTGTAACAATATATTACATACATATCATATACAAAATATCTAGTGGGTACATAGTATATCTACACATTTATGTCGTAAGTTGTGTAAACATTAAAAACTACACAACGTGTTATAGTAATAGAATTTAGAACTATATTGAATTAAAATGATATCAGAAAGACATAATATTAAAAATTAACAATGTACCTACTAGCCATCGTACGATCGCTCTCAACTCTGATTTGCCTATATTGTAATATATATTATACACGCAATTAATAATTTATATTTTACATGTATGTAACTAAATTCCATATGTATAAATACCAAAAATATATATTATATTATACTCAGTTTATTAAATAATTCGAGCATGTTTAAAATATATTATTTTAAACCATATTCGTATAGCATGATGCACTTATAAACAACATATTATAAGGTCATGAATTTGTTGCTCAATTTGTTTTTGTTTGTTATTAAACTTGAACGACATGGCTTAATTATTATTGATTATTTAAATTAATCAATACCTATAATACATGTGTTGTACATTCATACTTCTCGCGTCACGCGTCTTGTTCGTTGATAATAATAAATAATAATCGTACTATTCCGAGTTTTTTTTAAATGTTATTAAAATATTACCACACCGCTGTGTACAATTTATTCAAATACATTACACAATTAATATTATACAAATATGAAATATATTATTATGGATTTGTAAGAGTTGAGGGTGGTCAATCAGCCAATAATATAGAGGCCTATATTATAATAGATATTATGTTATAATATTGAATTGTCGATAATTTTAATTGATTACAACACACAACGCCCGCTCTACCCTACCGTATAGTGTACCAACACCAATCTCGACCAAAATCATCAACACAGAAATAAAATAATTTTATAGAAAAAAACAAAAACAAAACACAATAACCAAAACAAATATTGTACGCTATATTAATAATTATTATTGTATATAGCAATGTATATCATTATATAATCACCGAAAAATGCCAACTATGATCTTTTTTTTATGTGTGTTTTGGTCCCACGACAGTTGGTGGCTGGAAGTGGGGCAAACCAAGATAGAGACGAGTCGGCTGACTCGGTACCGGCTGAAGCAGGCGAAGCCCAAGAGATCCAGGCGGGCGTGAATGCCAAAGAAGACGGATACAGCGTCGGCGTACCCGGACCACTGACAAGAATATTCGTAATCGCCAACAGGGGAGTTGCCAATTTGGTCCAAGACTTGATACTGGTAAGTTATGAAGTTTAGCGTTTATTTAAAATCCTCATCTTCGAATTCGTGTGATTATATCATACGAATTGCATACAATGTGATTCTTCGTTACAACATGACATTTAAAAAAAAAATGGAATTGTTTGTTATTTTTTTTATCGTAATAAGCTTTTATTTCATACATTCTGAAGCAGAATAATTCTTCAGAAATTTCGATTTATTATAAAATAGAATTCCAGGATAATCAAATGTTAAACATGTAGTTAATTTGTCATACTTTTAAGTATTTAAAGTTTGGATGAGCGGAACATGTTAGTGCTAGTCCAATCCGTGTGTAGTTGTGCTACTCTACACTTCACAGTCCTTTCATCTAAAATTTAAACACTTATAAAACTCATAAATAATCTAGGACTCGTGCGGTACCTATTTGATTATTATGCATCAAAATTCTCATAAAGTTACAAAGTGTAAAACAATATGAAAACTAGTTAAATTCGATTTTCACAAAACGTATAAATCCGCATCGCATTTACATATAGAATATAAAATGTTCGACAATATTTATTATATGTTCGGTGCTCATAATATAATATAATACTGCCTATAAGACGCGTGGAGCTTGCCGAACATATTTTATTATATTATATTCGAAAGTACTTAAAAGTATATCTTACGAAAAGCCGACGCAGTCGAAATATTATGACGAAACTCGAATAATAGTAAAAATTATATTTATAAAAAATGTCCGCCCACAAAACAGGTGACAAGGTAATATTATGTTTGTTATTATGTGACCATTTATTATGTTCGTTATATAAATATCTATTAACAACCGTCGTTGTGTGTTTTTTTCCTTTTCAGAGATTGGCCCAGACCACCGAAAGAATAGTGAACTTCAAAGCCAGATTAATTACATCCCTCATCTAAGCGAATATTCAAGTTTGTGTAGTAAAATGTTATTTATTACCTGCAAGCGGCGTATTTTAGTCATGACTTATGAGATTAAATCTTAACTTAACGTTTGTTTGCACAACCATAAACCTACGTCGAGTTTTTTTTATAATTGACACGATTTTTTTGAACTATGTGTATAATTATTTCCAATTTGTGTTTTATGCATCAATCACGTCGTGACACGCACACTCACGCACACAAACTCATATACACGTACACATTCAAATATTTTACAACCAAATCAAAATTTAATGAAATAGCCAACAGATTTTATTTTTTTATTTTTTTTTTTCGTAAACGTTCTGTCAACAAGATTTAAACATTATATTATGTCGATAACGATGTCCATACCCCAGTCCACAACTGATTTTAATATTCTAACTTATGCAAAATAAGTGCCAAAATACAAAATATAATTTTAAAACCATCAGACCATAACGATACGTCATCCTCCGCGATCACCGATTTTAATTAAGTATACCTACGTCGTGTACTATTATCAATATTCGTGTTCTTAATGATTTAATCGGCATGTCATATATTATTATTAGATACACAGTGTACCTACTGCTGGTGGTTATCGACATTAAAACACTGATTTCAGACTATTGTAGTAATTTAATTAATCAACTAAAAATTATAATCAAAATTATGTAGGTACTCCATTTATAATTATAATTAGTAGTAGGTATAAAACTGTAAAAACATTATCATATAAATACTTATTTTCCATGTAGTATATTATTTTTATTTATTAGACCCTTGAAATACCTATGTGAAAACTTGTCCACTGTATAAAATAATATTGGTACCTTTTTTTTTTTTACATATTATATAGGGTTTAGGTAGTTTTTTTCTTGTATTTGTAAGTTACAAACAAAATAAATAATTGCTCAACAATTTTGTTTATGTATAATATATTACATAACGCATAATATGTTATAATAATACGTAAGGGTATCATCTTATTTTAATTGTAAACACATTTCATCCATGTTAATATAATTTACTCATATACTCATTACTCATATTAGAATATTCTATACTAAATAATATATTATGTCCTTCGATTCTCTTCATAAAAATATGTCTTCGCGGGGTGTTCTCCTATATAAGTAATATCGTATAATACAGTCTACTGCGCCATATTGTAGACTATATATTATTATACTTATACCTAACAATAATATTATATATAATAGCATGATGTATAGATAGTTGCCCAATACCTATAATATTTAATGCAGTACACTCAGGACCTACGTCACAATAATAAAATGTACCTAACGTGCTCATGTGAGATCTTAGAATGAAAAACGTAACGCATCGAAGCTCCATTATAAATCTACATAGGTCATTTCTTCTTTAATTTATTTATTTTCATAATTTTTATATTATTATCTTTTTCTTTCATAAATATCGTAATCATACTTAAAACATGTAATAGTACGTAATCATGGCTATGCGGTTAATAATTATTACACCTACCTACCATATATTATACCTATATAGTTAATAGATATCATGCTTACCTATATGAAATTATCCGCCTATTGTTGAACCATTGGTACAACATAACAATATCATCAATATATAATAATAAAAACAATAACATAATATCTCATATTATTATTATCATCTACTGTCGTTAATAATAATGTATGTAAGGTACGGGCATGGCCCTTTCTACCAAAAAAAACAGCTTCCAGATTTAAGTATTATAGCACTTTTCCACCAAAAACGATAGAGGTTTGATTCCCGTTTCCGCCAAAAAATAAATTTTTGTAAATACGTTTCTGCTAATATATATATAGATAGTAACGAAAAATTTAACAATAGAAAAATTATTATATATAATAATTCAAAATCTAATAATATCATAGTAAAGTAGGTAGGTACTTGGTACTTACATATTAGATGGGTTCAAATATTCAATATCTAGTAACATTTCACAAAAATATAAATTATACTAGTAAATTATCATAATTTTTAAAAAATCACAATCACATATCATTCATATTTTATATTTTAAAAAGTAATGATAAAGAAACTGTCTTACCAAAGTTGAACCTATACTATTTTCATTTGACTGATGTATTTAAAATTGCATTTTATGTCTTGTTACTTGACATAATATATTATTATAACCTACATAAAAATGGTTTTCAAATTATTTTTGGCAGAAACGGGTATCTCCCGGTAAAACAATAATATAAAATGACACGTCTCGACTCTTGGTTCGTCTAGAATCTATATTATAAATGTGTTAGCAAGGAATATTATTAATAAAAATAACAATAATTTAAACATTATTTCAATCATTGATCGATGAGACGAAAATCAGTTATAAACATCAGACACATAACGAACTGAAGTCGAGCACCTACTAACATTATTATACCATCTATTGCGTTAAAATCAAAATAATTATCGGACGTCCGCGTATAAGGACGATGGACTTTCGTTCTTCGCACTTATTGTGCATGTGACCAGTGACGTACGGTCCTCGGGTGGTCGTTCGGGGGACTCAGGCTACTGCTCCTCTTTGAGTTTGTTTTTTAAATACCTTCACAGCTCTACACACTTATCCATACATCACCATCATTCCTTTTCAAATAAGTTTCATATGAAGTAGTCTTCACCTGTCATGTCCATTTCCTGCAGTACAATTTAATATTATTTTGATTTTTAAAATATATTGTCATTAATATGACGTCATGGTTGATAACACGTTCATTTTCATCGGTTTAGCTCCGTGCCATGAAATTATACCTAAAATTCTTATTTTTTTATTTGCGTTTGATCCTCGGATATTATATATTATAATAATGAGACGGATACATAATGACATCTTACCTACTTAGTACAATTATAATGCATGTTGTGTGCGTATGTATTATATAATATTATAATACTGCTGGTTCAGTCGTATTTAAATTTCCGGATATTATAATATTATGTAGGTATATCATTGTATTTCACTTAATTAATCTATAAATCTGTATGTTATTAAATCATGATCATTATATTATTATTATTATTATTATTATTATTATTATTGTATGTGTATTAATTGTGTAAAGTCGTTAGTTGTTAAGTTAATAATAATGATGATATAATATTAATTGCTTTTGTATAGTGTTAATGATAATGTAGACAAGATTGAAATATATAGTGATTTTAAATTAAATATATTATATTATAATATTCAAAGACAATTATTTATTATATTATACTAACTTATTTATCCAGTACCTATCTATTATTCCTGCAGTGGTGTGGTTGTAGGGGAGGTCAAATGGTTTTAACAACCTCCACCCCTGAACCAAAAAAAAGTATTCGTGGATTAGTTTTAAAATAACATAATCTTATAAATTATATAGTTAAAAATATATACTGGTAAAATTATAATTTAGTTGTTTATTTGTTATGGTCTTGAATTTTTGATATTTTTTTCAAATAAAAATGTGTAAGAAACATTACTTATTACTTGGGCGCCAAGCTTTGAAAAATATAATGGGTGCAAACAAGAGTTTTTAAGTTTAGTAAATGATTTAGTAAACGATTTTTCATTGTACTAATTATTTTAAAACAGAACTTATACTGTTACATAATATTATGTATCTCCATTGATATATTTTTCCTTTCCAGGAATATTTAAAAGATTTAAATGATCTCAAACAAAAATATTGGTATTGATTTTATGAATATTTTAAAAATAAATAATTAGAAATTATTACCAGACGTTTAATGAAAATATTATATAGGTATTATATAATTGTGTCAATCAATAAGAAGGTAAATCATTAATTTGGACACATAATAATGTAAACCCTGAAGTAAATTATGAAATTTAAGCTTCCAACTTAGATATGTATGTTTACTTTTCGGTTCCTAGCAACTGAACTGAATTTTTCTCTCGGTGGTTACATTAGCGTGCTAAGACCATAATAGTATACATTTAACTTTGTATATCGGTGCATCTGTAGGTACACGTAGGTAAGACGAGGCCATAGGTTTACGCAGTGCTTGAGTTGGAAAAAAATGTATACAGATGATCCAAAACTGGACAAAAATGTGCGTATCCTAATATTTAAATGTCTTATTGATTAGGAAATAGTTGGAAGGAATACACATAAATATATTTTTAAATTAAAAGGTACTCCGTCCGCTCTACAATTCAAGTACTAGGTCTACGATTCAGCGGCGTTCCCTAGAATTTTCCATGATAGAGAATATTATAAGCAATTGTACATTTTAGCGAATCGGAGATGCAGAACCAGTCACCAGTCACAAATATCGAATCTTTAGGGTATAAATTGTTAGTATATTTTATAACCATAGACTAAGATAATATAAGTTATAAGTACGTACATAATACATTTTAGTATTATCAATATTATGTTATTATTACTTATTACAATTAATTCAGTGCATTTTGACATTTGATACATAGGTAGCTTATTATTTTATGAATATTTATTTAAAAATATTATTTATTTTATACACATTAGAAAACTTTAGTGTTATTTTTACATTTAATAAATACATTTTGTTGACAGTAAGTTGTAAACTGCAAAGATTTTTAACACAGTAAATAGTTATTTAGGTTGTTTTGACTAAATATAAAATATAAGTACAAAATTATATCCTATAATATGATAACAATTAATAGCTATTTTATTTTCTATAACCTACGTTAAGAATATACACTAAAAAAATAATTGTGGTTCGTGAATCAACCTATATTTAATAGTTGTGTGTTGAAACGTAAAAAGTAAGTAATAAAATATTTAAATTTATTTATAAATTATTATAGTTGATTTTGTACTAAAAAATTAAACAATTCCAGTGGAAATCTACCAAAAACCTTAAACTCTATTAAATATTAACTTCAAGTATTTTTAATACAGTTATTTTGGTGGTTTTGACATTGTTCTATGTTTTGATCAAGTATAAAAAGGAGGTCTGAA